CTTAGATGGGCTTTTGAAAATTGAATAAAAATGTCCTCCTGTCAACGGGCAGAGATAACAGAAAGAGGGCCGGTTTGGTTGCCTTTGGCAGTCGGTGTGGCATCGAGGCTGCATTCTGAATTGATGAATCTCGGCTGCCTTCGTCCCTCCTCCATTAATTCTTCTGCTGCTTTAGGTTAGACTTCCTCTTGACATCCACACTTATCCTTAAATAACTGTGGTGCAAGGGTTATTGTCCCTTGCAAGAGAAATACTGTGCAAGAGAAATAATTTGAAACTGGGGGAACTGCTATTCTTAGCACGCAATTCTCCCGTGACATTAATACAGGATAGAATAACAGAGTGGGAAGGGACCTTGGAGGTCTTCTAGTCCAGGGGTGTCAACCTCGAATTCATTGAGGGCCACATCAGGATTGTGGTTGACCTCTGGAGGCCGGGTCCGCGTGGCCGGGTAGTCACAGCAGACTGCGTGGGTGTGGCCAGGGTGAGCATGGCCAGCTCGATGTCACTCATGTCGGGGCGGGGTGCCTGTGGTGGCCCGAGCAGGCCTGGGGAATCCATTATCTCCAGCACGCACCTAGGGGGCGAGGTGGGGGCAGCCCCTTGCTGGTTCCAGGGGGCCCCCGTGGATCTGACTGTGTTCTAGCCTGGATGGCCGCCACCAAGTTGTAGGTCAGCACTCAGCTGGCCTGGGCTGGGGCCGGGGGCCGATCTTTTGCTGTTTCCATGGCAGCCCCACAGGCCAGATCTAACCACTTTGAGAGCTGGAACCAGCCTGCAGACCTTGAGTTTGACACCCCTGTTCTAGTCTAACCTTGTGTTCAGGCAGGAAAACTTATATCCGTGTTGGCGAACCTATGGCACGCGTGCCGCAGGTGGCATGCAGAGCCATATCTGTGGGCACGCGAGCATTACCCTAGCTCAGCTCCAGCATTCAAGTGTGCACCGGCCAGCTGATTTTCAGGCCTTCCGGGCCCACTGGAAGTCGGGAAACAAGCCGTTTCCAGCCTCCAGGGGGAGGGGGAAGCCCATTTTCGCCCTCCCCAGACTCCAAGAAAGCCTCTGGAGCTTGAGGAGGGCGAAAAATGGGTCTACCTGGCCGACCGGTAGCCTTTTTGCCATCGTGTGCCAAAAGCGCAGTGGGGTTGCACGTGCATGTGGGCGGGGGTCACGCATGCATGCGGGGGGGGGCACTGGGGGGCATTGAATTATGGATGTGGGCACACGAGGGTGCGACACCCCCCCCCCCGCACTCCCCCTGTTTTTGGCACACGACTGCAAAAAGGTTAGCCATCACTGCCCTATATCATTTCAGACAAACGGTTGTCCAATCTCTTGTTAAAAGCTTCCAGTGTTGGACCATCCACAACTTCTGGAGGCAAGTTGTTCCACTGATTAATTGTTCTGTCAGGAAATTTCTCCTCAGTTCTAGGTTGCTTTTCTCCTTGATTAGTTTCCACCCGTCGTTTCTTGTCCTTCCCTCAGGTGCTTTGGAGAATAGCTTGACTCCCTCTTCTTTGGGGCAGCCCCTGAGATTTTGGAACAGTGCTATCATGTCACCCCCAGTCCTTCTAAACTAGACATACCCAATTCCAGCAAGCCATTCTTTATATGAAGAACGGTTGAAGAGCTGAAGAAGCTCCTTGGAGGAGAGGGGCCGTGAGTGCCTGTGATGCTTGCTTGTGGTGACGCTGTCGCGAGTGGAGCTTCTCACGCGGCCCGATGACCAATAGGCTGTGGCCCAGTGGTGATCCGCGACCCACAGGTTGGGACCCCTGATTTATACAAATAAAGCAGAGGAATGGGTGGGTGAATAGGATCAGCTTGAAGAAAACTTTACAAGTAAAAACCCAACGGTGCTTTTTTTCCCCCAAGAGGCAACTGGATTTTCTGATTTTTCTTTGAAGACGTTTCGCTTCTCATCTAAGCAGCTTCTTCAGCTCTGACTGGATGGTGGGGAATGGAAGGATTCCAGTCAGAGCTGAAGAAGCTTCTGGGATGAGAAGCGAAACGTCCACCCTGAGTCTCCGGAGAAAGGCGGCATATAAATTGAACTAAATAAATAAAATAAATAAACGTCTTCAAAGAAAAACCCGGAAAGTCCAGTTGCCTCTTGGGGGGAAAAAAAGCACCTTTGGGACAACCATGATCTGGATGAATCTCTGTAGACGTTCTTTATATGTTTTAGCCTCTAGTCCCTTAATCATCTTTGTTTGCTCGTCTTAGTAAAATGACAATTTCCCCAACCTCCCAGTCTGTAGGCCCATAGCCCACAATGAACAGAGATGATAGTAGGGGTAATACGGCAACTCGGTCCCTCTCTCTTAGCCCTTTCAGAAACTGGCATCCAGAGCAGAAGTAATACATATGTTGCCGTCTCTCTGCATGTGCCAGTTGTCAGTGGCAGGGATGCCTCCCCTCCCTCCCTCTCCCCCTTTTAATACATCTCCAGTGCCTTCACCATTCAGGAATAAATATGTAATGTGCTTGATGGCAAAAATAATTCCCCCCACTTTTATCTCGGCTTTGTTCCTCTGGAGAGCTTGCCTGCCATTCCTCCGGCACGGTGATATGATGCCTCCTTTTGTGGCCTTCTTGTCGCTGGCTAAAACCACTGTTCGGAATGAATGGGCCAGCTCTTTTTGACTTGCTAAAGCTGGCAAGAGGGAGACAGGCTGGATACTAGAATGTGCAGAAGTGAATAGATTAACACAAACAATTAAAGAAAAGGAAGAATCTGACTATTATAGTGGTGGTGTTAGTTGCGAAGTCGTGTCCGACCCGTCGCGACCCCATGGACAACGTTCCTCCAGGCCTTCCTGTCCTCTACCATCCTCTGGAGTCCATTTAAGTTCATGCCTAGTGCTTCAGTGACTCCATCCAGCCACCTCGTTCTCTGCCGTCCCCTTCTTCTTTTGCCCTCCGTTGTTCCCAGCATTAGGTTCTTCTCCAGTGAGTCCTTCCTTCTCATTAGGTGGCCAAAGTAGTTGAGTTTCATCTTCAGGATCTGGCCTTCTAAAGAGCAGTCAGGGTTGATCTCCTCTAGGACTGACCGGTTGGATCGCCTTGCAGTCCAAGGGGACTCACAGGAGTCTTCTCCAGCACCAAAGTTCATAGGCCTCAATTCTTTGGCGCTCAGCCTTCCTTATGGTCCAACTTTCACAGCCATCCATTGCAACTGGGAAAACCATCGCCTTGACTATACTGTTATAATATATGGCAGGTTTTTTATCAATGGTTAGAGAATAAAGATGAAAATTAGAAATAAAAGTAGAGGAGTGAAATATGGAAAATGTATTAACAAAGTTAAATAAGTTGAGGATTGTCATAATGCTAGGTATGCTATGTATTAGTATTAATTTAAGAATAGATAAAATAATGAACATGGCTGTAAATTTTAATTGTTATTGTACAAAAGATTTTGTACCCAGACGACACACTGATTAATGAAAGATGAAATGTTTGTATTAAAATAAGATTAAAAAAAAATTAAAAAAATAAGAGGGAGGGAGGCATGCAGGCACAGGATAAATGGGAAATGTGTTCTGGGCTGTTTTCTTACCGCTAATCCAGAAATGTGGCTTCTAGATTTAAATATAAACAGACAAGTCTATCCATTTCCCCTAATGGCGGTATGGAGGAGGCCCTAATTTGGGAAATAGTATTTCTTTGCATGGAGAAGCCATACCTTCCACCTCCAGAATCTCCTGTCAGAACTGATGGCTCAAAGTCGTTTCTTAGGCTTTGCAAACCTTCCACTAATAATTCATCAAGATTGCATGTTTCTCAGATATAGGAAGCCCTTCATTGGATCTCATTGTCTCTATTCAGTGTTTCTCAGCCTTGGCAACTTGAGCTATGTGGACTTCAACTCCCAGAAGTCTCCAGCTGGCTAGAGACTTCTGGGAGTTGAAGTCCAAACAGCTTAAAGTTGGAAAGTTTAAGAAATATTGTTCCAGTTTAATATGTTTATGGAGATTCTCAAGTCATCCCGGTCATGGTTGTCCCAAAGGTGTTTTTTCTCAAGAGGCAACTGGAATTTGTTGTTGTTTTTTGAAGACGTTTTGCTTCTCCCTCCAAGAAGCTTCTTCAGCTCTGACTGGATGGTGGGGAACGGAAGGATTCGATACTCCTTGCAGACTGCTGGTCATTTGCATCCTTTTAGATAGTTGTGGAGGCCACCTGGAGGTTTGTCTGTGGCATCAGAGTCACCTGAGTGGTGCAAATGGGTGTGGAACCTTCTTGGAACTGCTGAAAGGACCCTGTTGACTGGAGATAGATGATGTCTTACAGTCCCCCTCTGTCGAGAGAGGGCTGCTCAATTTTGACATAGATGGCTTCTTTGACTCCTCTTTCAAACCAGCTTAATAATTTTGGTTCCAGTTTAATAGCTTGAGGCACGAGCTCTTCATAAGTGTTTCAGGAGCTACCTGCGGTATGGAACTATGAGACTAGTGATCTAATTAGTGGAAGGCAGCTTTTTGTCTTTTCTTTCTCTCTTCATTCTCTGTCAACTTCCTTTACGACAATTGGCCATTCCAGAATTCTTCTAAGGAGGTTGTCAGCTTTGCGAGGCAGTTCAGATAAGAAACATGTACAGGTAGTCTATGATGAACAACAGGTAGTCCTGACTTATGGGACCATAATTAAACCTGGTTAGGTGCAAGAAATCAGGAAACAAGGCAGTTCAAGTGACTGTAGGTTAATTGCATGTTAACGGTCTCTGCAAGAATCTGAACTGCTCAAATACACTTTGGATAATATTTTACAAACTTTAGGAATTACCTAGCATTATATATAAAGGAAAAATACGTTTTCTTATCTGCGTTAAGAGAAAGTTAAAGAAATGTATAGAGAATCTCTACAGGCTTTCAGGGGTGGAGAAGTCTTCCTCTGAGCAGTATCCCAACCTGTCAGGTTCTCAACAACCTCTTCTCCTATCAAGTGGGTAGCATTTCTCGCAGAGTCGTCTTAACGCACTTTCTCGTTTTGCTCCGCAGGTTACAAAGCGTTAAAGGCTTTGCTGAGAAGCCTGGTGGATCTTCAGGATGAACTATGGCAACAGAACTCGGGGACCAGACATTTGGTAACAGGACAAAAGAAAGAGGAGAGGTAAAAAAAGATACCGATGGCGGTGGCCGGGCAACGGGCGGGCAAAGGCCACAAAACACCTTTCCAACATCGGGGCGGAGGGCAGGAAAAAATGAGATGGGGGTCATCCCTTGAACCCAACTTGCAATCGCAATTGAGCCAAAAATTTATGTTGCTAAGTGAGACTGTCGTTAAGTGAACTTTGCCACACTGTACGGCCTTTCTTGCCAACGTTGTTAAATGAATTGCCGCAGCTGCTAATTTAGTAACACGGTTGTTAAGTGAATTTGGATTCCCCATTGACTTAGGCATGTTCAGCATCTGGTGACCCGAAACTACAGGTAAGTGAACAGATTAACAGAGTTGGAAGGGACCTTGTAGGTCATCTAGTCCAACCCCCCGCCCAAGCAGGAGACCCTACATCATTTCTGACAGATGGCAGCCCAGTCTCTTCTTGAAAGCCTCCAGTGATGAAGCTCCCACAACTTCTGAAGGCAACCAATAATTGATTGCTCTCAGTGTCAGAAAATTCCTCTCTATTTCTAGGTTGAATCTCTCCTTGTTTAGTTTCCATCCATTATTCCTTGTCTGGCCTTCAGGTGCTTTGGAGAATAGCATCACCCCCTCCTCTCTGTGGCAGCCCCTCAAATATTGGAAGACTGCTATCATGTTTCCCCTGGTCCTTCACTAGACTAGACATGCCGAGTTCTTGCAACCATTCATCATATGTTTTAGCCTCCCGTCCCCTAATCATCCTGGTTGCTCTCCTCTGCACTCTTTCTAGAGTCTCATTGAAGCTAATTTAAGAGAAATTGAAATTTAATTTCGTGTAAGGAATTCTTGGGAGTTGATGTCCACAGGTTGTAAAATTGCCATAGTGGCCCCCCACCTGTGATTTCAACTTAGAAACCTGGTCATGAGTGGCCTTATTGATTGAGGCCGAAAAGGAGCCAATTCTGAAAACATCTGGCATCAACAATGTCTTGATTTAGGTGGGGGGGAAGGCACTGGAAGACCACAATGAGGCTTCTGAAATCATACCTCACTTGCCCAGTTATATATAAAGGTAAAGGTTCCCCTTGCACATATGTGCTACTCGTTCCCGACTCTAGGGGGCAGTGCTCATCTCCGTTTCAAAGCCGAAGAGCCAGCGCTGTCCAAAGACGTCTCCGTGGTCATGTGGCCGGCATGACTCAACGCCAAAGGTGCACGGAACGCTGTTCCCTTCCCACCAAAGGTGGTCCCTATTTTTTCTACTTGCATTTTTAAACGTGCTTTCGAACTGCTAGGTTGGGAGAATCTGGGACGAGTAACGGGAGCTCACCCTGTTACACGGCACTAGGGATTCGAACCGCTGAACTGCCGACCTTTCGATCGACAAGTTCAGTGTCTTAGCCACTGAGCCACCGTGTCCCTTATATAGATATATTTCCATTCTCCCCTTTGCATTAGGCCTAAGGCTTATCCAGGGATAAGGTTCAGAGCTGTCGAAAGGCTTGTTCCCGTTTCATAGGGTATTATCTGCCTGTGTGATTACATGGCTTTAACGGGGGATTAGCTATTCATAAGGGGGGGGGGAGAGAAATGCAATCAGCCTCTGTTGACCATAAGGCTAAATGGAAATGCCATATTCAGGGGCAGTATACCATTGAAGGCCAAGATGATATGAAGCAGCAAAGGATAAATCCGCTGCTTTAACAGACTAACGGAGTTGGAAGGGACCTTGGAGGTCTTCGAATGTGACCCCTTGCTCAGGCAGGAAACTCTATACAGGTAAGTCCTCGACTTAACAACACTTCATTTAATGACTGTTCAAAGTCACAACAGCACTGAAACAAGGGAGTTATGACCCATTTTTCACACTTAACGACCATAAGCAGCATTTGACCAAAATTCAGACACTTGACAATGGATTCGTATTTATGACGGTTGCAGTGTCCCAGGGTCACATGATCCCCTTTTGACAAGCAAAGTTGATGGGGAAACCAGATTCACTTAACAACTGCTATTAACAACTGCAGTGATTCACTTAACGGCCGTGGCAAGAAAGATCGTAAAATGGAGCAAAATTCACTTAACAACTGTCTCACGTAGCAACAGAAATTTGGGCCTCCGTTGTGGTCCTAAGTCTAGGACTACCTATATCAGTGTTGGCTAACCTTTGTGTCGTTGCACGCATGAACCCATTATGCAGTGCGTGTGCAACCACCTCACCACGGGGCCCGGCCACTTACGCATGCACATGCGACCCCCCCCCCCCGCCCCCCCCCCCCCCGTGCATGCATGCACGACCCCCTCGCGTGACCCCTGCTCCCTGCGCATGCACACACGACCCCCCGTGTGACCCCGCCCCCGTACATACGTACGCGACCCCATGCATGCACGTGAGACCCCCATGCACACTCATCTCCCGCATGCTTCCCCCTCCCCCCCCAGCGCAGGCGCAGCAGAGACCCGAAAATCAGCTGACCGGCAGGAGGCTCGTGCGCATGCACGGTGGAGCTGAGCTGGGGCAACGGCTCACGTGCCATCAGAAAGGGCACTGCGTGCCACCTCTGGCACGCGTGCCATAGGTTTGCCATCACGTACCTATATCATTTCCGACAAATGGTTGTCCAGTCTCTTCTTAAAAACTTCCAGTGTCGGAGCATTCATAACATCTGGAGGCAAGTTGTTCCATTGGTTAATTGTTCTCACTATCAGGAAATTCCTCCTTAGTTCTAAGTTGCTTCTCTCCTTGATTAGTTTCCATCCATTGCTTCTTGTCCTGCCTTTAAGTGCTTTGGAAAATAAATTGACCCCCCTCTTCTTTGTGGCAGCCCCTGAGATATTGGAAGACTGCTATCATGTCGCCCCTAGTCCTTCTAAACTAGACATACCCAATTCCAGCACCCATTCTTTATATGAAGAACGGTTGAAGAGCTGAAGAAGCTACTTGGATGAGAAGCAAAACGTCTTCAAGGAAAGAAAGTCCAGTTGCCTCTTGAAAAAAAACCATGTTGCTTCTCTCCTTGGTTAGTTTCCATCCCTTGGTTCAGCTTGACAGGTTTGCCTTTAGGTTGCCCGTTGCTAACCAGGTTTAGTGATAAAGCCGTACTAAAGAAAGAAAGCTATCGGGAGATGCTCGGACAGCTCTGTAGGCTAATTGTGCCACCATCTTTATTGTCAGCGATGAAGAGATCTCAAGTGGCAGCGATGAAGCTGAGGAAGAGAAGAGGGTTGTGCAGAGGCCACCCAAACGGAAGCTGGAGATGGAGGACTACCCCGAATTCGCGTCCAAGAGGTTTGCTGAGTTTCGGGTCTACAGAAACAACACCCTACAGAAGTGGCACGACAGGACCAGACTGGCTTCTGGCAAACTGGGCAAGGCAAGTATTATTTCTTTATAGAGGTGCTGAGGAGTGATGCATGGTATGAACTCACCAGCAAGAAGCCTGGTGCCTGTGAGTTCTAGTCCCATCTTAGACACAAAAGCTGTCTGGGTGACTTTGGGCCAGTCCAGCCAGGAGACTGTGAGTTCTGGTCCCACCTTAGGTATGAAAGCTAGCTGGGTGGCTTTGGGCCAGTCACCAGGTGTCTGCGAGTTCTAGTTCTGCCGCAGGCATGAAAGCTGGCTGGATGACTTTGAGCTAATCACCAGGTTGTGTTGAAGTGTATTCTTGCCTTCGCATGAAAACTGACTGGGCCAATTGCCAGGGAACTGTGAATTCTAGTCTCACCTTCGGTATGACAGCCGGATGGGTAACTTTGGGCTAGTCACTTTTTCTCAGCCCAACCCACCTCACAGGGCTGTTGTTGTAGGGAAAATAGGAGGAGGAAAGAGGTATGTTTGCCACCTTGAGTTATTTATACCAGAGTTCCCCAGCACCCCACTCAATTTCAGGCTTGACACCAACCAGAGTTCCTGGTTGGCGGTCCAAAGTGGGGGGAGTGGGGAAAGGGGATAGTTTTGTGGGACGGACAGGCGCATGTGGGTGCTCCTGTTGGTCGTGCAAGTGGGGACGTGAGCATCCACAAAGACCCTTGCGTGAGTGGGCCACAAGTGCCCACACCACAGCGACGCTCACATGAATAGGCTGCAAGTGCCCATGCAAGTGGGGCCGTGATCACCCATGCGAGTGGGGCTGCTAGCGTCCGTGATGCTCGCAGCGACGCTGTCGCAAGTGGGGCTACTCACGCGGCCCAGTGGCCAATAGGCCATCACCCAGTAGTGGTCTCCGGTCCTCCGGTTGGGGACCAGGGGTGAGATCCAGCAGGTTCTGACAGGTTCTGGAGAACCGGTAGCGGAAATTTTGAGTAGTTCGGAGAACCAGCAAATACCACCTCTGGCTGGCCCCAGAGTGGGGTGGGAATGGAGATTTTGCATTATCCTTCCCCTGGAGAGGGATTGGAATGGAGATTTTGCAATATCCTTCCCCCAGGAGTGGGGAGGGAATGGGGATTTTGCAGTATCCTTCCCCTGCCACGCCTACCAAGCCATACCACACCCACCAAGCCATGCCCACAGAACCGGTAGTAAAAAAATTTTGAATTTCACTACCGTTGGGGACCCCTTATTTATACAAATAAAGCAGAGGGATGGATGGATGGATGGATGGATGGATGGATGGATGAATCACCTTGAAGAAAAATTTACAAGTAAAAGTATCGTATTTTTCGGAGTATAAGACGCACTGTAGTATAAGATGCACCTTAGGTTTTGGGGAGGAAAATAAGAAAAAAGCTGATTGGCAGATGGATTGGCCTCCCGGAATACCCCCAAACAGCTGTTCCCAGAGGTGAATTTTAGCAACAGGTTCCTTGGTTGTGAGCTCTGTGCCTTGCTTTTTTTTTCTGCCTCTGAAACTTCTGAAACTCTGTTTCAGAAAAAGCTTTTTTTCCTGCCCCTGAAAGCCTCCAAACAGCTTCGGAAAAAAAGCCTCTGAAGCTCTGTTTGGGGGCTTCTTTTCTGAAGCTTCGTTTCTGATGCTTTTTTCGGCCTCTGAAACCCCCGTTTGAGAAGCTGGGCGGGGCTGCATTCAGAGTATAAGACGCATCCAGATTTTCACCCTCTTTTGGGTGGGGGGGAAAGGTGCATCTTATACTCCGAAAAATACAGTATACCCTCCCAAAAGTAAACAATGTCATCACTGTGTTAAAAAAATAAATAAATAATGGCAGGAAAGATTTTCTGCTCATTGGCTGGTAAAGGAGGCAGAGTGCGGCCGCGCGGGTGGTAATGGGAGCGAACATGGCGTTCCCATGTAACACCTCTCCTGCGTGAGCTGCACTGGCTCCCGGTGGTCTTCCGGGTGCGCTTCAAGGTTTTGGTTACCACCTTTAGAGCGCTCCATGGCTTAGGACCTGGTTACCTACGGGACCGCCTACTACCACCAATAGCCTCCCACCGGCCGGTACGCTCTCATAGAGAGGGGCTCCTCTGGGTGCCGTCAGCCAAACAATGTCGACTGGCGGCCCCTAGGGGGAGGGCCTTCTCTGTGGGGGCACCTACTATCTGGAACAAGCTCCCCCCGGAGGAGATACGGAGGATCCCGGATCTGCGCACCTTCCATATTTATGTATTTTACTATTTGACTGTTCACCGCCCTGAGTCCTTCGGGAGTAGGGCGGTATACAAATCAAATAAAGATAAATAAAGATAAAGTTGGGGTGGGGGGCTGTGGCTGGGAGAAACCTCAGTGTCTTTCCTGCTTTCCCTGACATTGCTTGATGCTCTTCCAGGGTTTTGGTGCCTTTGACCGATCCATCTTGACTCAAGTGGATCACATTTTGATGGACAAAGGGAGGTTACTCCGACGGACACAGACCAAGAGGTCAGCATACAGGGTGCTGGGAAAAAACCCCTCGGCTGCTGAGGTGCTTCCACAAACTGAACTGGACGAGACGGTAAGAAATGACACAGATTGGACCAAGCAGGGGGAACAAATTGATTCTTTTATTTGGAGGAAATTGATTTTGGGGGGAGAAGAAAAGCCGATTGCAACAAATTTCAGGTAGTCCTCATCTTACGACCATTCGTTTAACGATTGAAGTTATGACAGTGCAAAAAAAAAAAAGAAGAAGAAGTGAGTTACAACAGGTCCCTGCACTTACAGCCATCATAGCAACCCCATAGTCACATGAGCACAATCATGTGACACTTGGGTCACATGATCATCATTTGCAACCTATCCAGGGGGCTTCCGACAGGCAAAGTCAATGGGGAGGAAGCCGGATTCGTGATTCACTTAACGAAAAGGTTGCAAAATTGGGCCTGGCTCACTTAACAACTGCATCACTTAGCAACAAACGTTTTGGCCCCAGTGGTGTTTGTAAGCCAAGGACTACCTGTCATGCCCTGTTATATGACTCTGGTGGTTTGTTAAATGAATCCGTTTAAACCATTTAACGGGCATTTTTTTTTTTGTGGTCGAGTGACCGCGGGACATTTGCAAGTCGCCATAAATGCAAGATGGTTGCTTAGGGCCCCAAATGTAACCACATGATCACAATATGTGCGCAGGCATGTGCTTGCAATTGTCGTAACTCCAGGTCTGTTTAACTTTAAGCTAAGATAACTTTATTGTCTTTTTTTTTTTTTACTGTGAGTATACTGGTATACATTGAATATGAAAATTTGTTGCCTGCTCTCAAGAGAAAGTATATATCTAACCAAACACATAACACACTATCTCTCTCCTCTCTCTCTCGTCTTTATCTTCTCTCTCTCTCCTTTCTCTCTCTCTCTCCTTTCTCTGTCTCCTCTTTCTCTCTCCTGTCTCTCTCTCTGTCCCTCCTCTCTCTCCTCTCTTCTTCTTTCTCTCTCTCTCTCCTCTTTCTCCTCTCTCTTCTCTCCTCTTTCTCTCTCTCTCTCTCCTGTTTTTCCCGTCTCTCTTCTCTCTCTCCTCTTTCTTTCTCTCTCTCCTCTCTCCTCTTTCTCTCTCCTCTCTCTCCTCTTTCTCTCTCCTGTCTCTCTCTCTGTCCCTCCTCTCTTTCTCGCTCCTCTTTCTCCTCTCTGTTCTCTCCTCTTTCTTCTCTCCTCTTTTTCCTGTCTCTCCTCTCTCCTCTCTCTCTCTCGTCTTTATCTTCTCTTTCTCTCCTCTCTCTCCTATTTCTCTCTCCTGTCTGTCTGTCTCTCTCCTCTCTCCTCTTTCTCAATCTTCTCTCTCTTTCCTCTTTCTCTCCTCTTTCTTTCCTCTCTCCTCTTTCTCTGTCTTCTCTCCTCTTTCTTTCTCTCTCATCTCTGTGTCTTTCTCTCTCTCTGTATGTGTGTATGTTCACACACACACACACACACACACACTAATCACTGTCCATTTTGAATACATAGAGGAAAGAGGGAACTTTGAGAGTTCACAAGGTCGATGTTCTATGGAACAAAACTGTGACTGAATCTAGATGTTCTGCTTCGGAGAGCCCGAAGCCTCCTCCCAGAAGGCAACAAGGAACTTTAAACGGTCACTTAAGTGACCGGTCGCTTAGCGAGAACTGTCTGTAAATTGCTTCCTGCAAGTTTAGTTAGGTGGGCCGAGGTGGAGCAGTGTTACCAGTTTCCTTTATGGTAAAAGGACTGTTCGGTGCAGCTGGGTGACATGTTAGTTTGAAGAGCCACATCTTGTGAACTGTCCTGTTTTGCATGTGTTTCCCTCCGTCCCCCTTTCAAATCCCGGATAACCAGAGTAATATGTCACGTTTATAAGCTATCATCTGATTTGAAAAATCAAGGACTTGTTTGGTTGAGCTGCGCAAAGACTTTTGATGGATGATGGTCTTCTCGGACCTTCTCACTCCATAAAGAATAGCACATATGAAAGGGAACAGATCAGTCCTGCCTTCGGTGTCCATTTGAGTGTACATATATTAGAGATGAATTGTGTATGCACGAAAGCGTCTCTTGGTTTTGAAGTCAAAGCATGCCCCAAGATGCTCAAAACAGCTGATTTAAAGTTCAAGGCAGCAGCAGCCCTTTTGAAATGGGAGATTTCATGGTGTTTCCACACTCAGAACGAAGCATTTTTGCATATTTTTAAGATTTCTGGAGCAACAAATAGCAAGCAGTGCGAGAGAGTTGTGGCGAGGTTAGAAAAGGAAGGAAGAGTAAGACAGTCCAAAAAAGAAGAAGAAGTGAGCCTTGTTGGCAGCTTATCTCATAAACAGCCATTCAGTCCAGGTGAAGAGAAAGCTGAGAAGAAAAAAATTGAAATTATCCAAGGAGATTCTGCTTTAGCTCTTAAATGGCAACTCAGCCCAGGATGGAGGGAAAGCTGGGAAGAAGCATTTCAATGTGTTTAAGCATCTCCATCTTAATGAACTCACCAGAAAGGAGGGTAGGAAATTCCGCTTAGGCTGCCCAAGATTCTCTGTTGATCCCAGAGGAGCATTGAATAAAATCTGGTTAGTCCTTGCTTACTTGTTCCTGACTTGTAGTGCGAAATCTGACGCTTGTGGTACCTTAATAGCAATAGCACTTAGATATACCGCTTCATAGTGTTTTTACAGCCCTCTCTAAGCGGTTTACAGAGTCAGCATATTGCCCCCAACACAGTGGTGAAATGTAAAATTTGTTACTACCGGTTTTGTGGGCGTGGCTTGGTGGCGGGATTAATGTGATTGGGTGGGTGTGGCCAACTTTTTTTTTTAAAGCATTTTTTTCTACGGCTGAAGAGGTTATTTTAAAAAGTGCTTTTAAAAGGCTCTGACAATCCCAGCTGAGTTGCCTGTTTTCTTTTAAAAGCATTTTTTTTTTTGCTTTTAAAAGAAAAAAAAGCCTCTGACGATCAGGCAACTCAACTGAGATCTTCAGAGCCTTTTAAAAGCATTTTTTTACAACCTCTTCGGAGGTTGTAGAAAAAATGCTTTTAAAAGTTAAAAAAAAAAGTTGGCCACGCCCACCCAGTCATATTACCCCCCACCAAACCACGCCCACAGAACCGGTAGTAACAAATTTTACATTTCACCACTGGTAAGGAGACATTCTTCAAATGTCTGAACTACACATTGCTTTTCTTCCGGTTACACCTTTTGGCCTGGCAGGTCAAATGGAGGAAGCCAGAATGGCTCGCACTTAGACTTACATACTGCAATACTGCCGGCTACTTCTGCTGACTGCCGGCTGTCTACAGTTCGACAGTTCAATCCTCACCAGCTCAAGGTTGACTCAGCCTTCCATCCTTCCGAGGTGGGTAAAATGAGGACCCAGATTGTTGGGGGCAAGATGCTAACTCTGTAAACTGTTTAGAGAGGGCTATAAAGCACTGTGAAGTGGTCTATATGTGCTATTGCTATCTACAAAAGCCACTGTGAATCTAGATCGGTAGTTGTTAAACCGTTTGACTCAATAACTCCTTTTCCCAGTCTCAAATACTGTCATTATCTTCACCCCCAAGCCCCCCAGGAACTGTTATTTTACACAAGTTTTGGCAGTGGCGTTCTCAAACTTTATCGTTGACTCACAAACAAGCAAACACAAATGGCTCCGCTACTCCCAGGGTATGCCTGGATTATCCCCCACTCACCCACCCCAGTTTAAGAACCACCGTTCTAGATTGGAGCTGAGACGGTCCTCACAGAAGTCTCTTTTCTTTCTCGGCCTTCTAGGAGATGCTTCCTCCAGCGATGTCAAATGCCCACCTCAAAGACCTGGACGAGGAGATCTTCGATGACGATGACTTTTATCATCAGGTGAGTCCCACTTGACAAGTGCAGAGTGTTGAAGGAAAGGCACCTGAACATGTTAAGTGTCCTCTACTGTTTTTTTCATCATCCGGTTGAAGAGTTTATGGCAGGGATGCAGTAGCCAGAAGAAATGTGTGAAAGAGAGTTTTACACACACACACACACACACACACACACACACACACCCCTCTCAACTCATTTGCTTGCTGCTGAGGTCAGCATAGCTGGGCATGAGTAGGGGAAAATATCCCTCTAAAAGCATATTCAGATGTTCTCCTTGGATGCCCGTTTCCATCCTGACTCACAAGCGAATGAACTGAAAAGCGTTACTAGATAGCGTGTTTCCCTGTTCTGTCCCAGCTACAGACCCCAAAGAACGCAGCACACACAAAGTCCGCACAAACTTTAGTTTACTAATTAAGGACTACTAATGAGCTTTCTTAGTAGTTGTTCGAACACAAGTACAGTTTAAATCAGTCTTTTCTGAACAAGGGCTGTTAATTTAACTTCATTAACAGCTGACAAGAATCCAAAGAATAATAACTCAATTCTGAGGCACAGTATTTCAGATAATCGTAATCTTACTGTGGTTGGCAGAATGCCCAGAAGCAATTTGCAGGAAAACTGACAAGAGAGAAACGAGCCAAATCAAACGTTTCTGGAATCAAGAAGCGAAGGAATATGAACGAAGTTGTTTCCTGCAAATTGCATCAGTTGTCGTCCTTCCTTAAATAGGCTAGGGGAGTGGTCAATTAGCCCCAAGCCTTACTCTCGAGGAGACCTCCTCCTGAGGAGCCACTCCTGCCTTTTAACAGCTCTGCGTGCTCGTGCATTGAGAAGAGGCTCCTCCTCTTCTTCCTCTTCACTTAAAGGAGCTTCTAGAGGTTCTGAAGGCCCTGGCTGAATCCCCGCCTCTGGCACCACATCTTCTCCAGCCTCCTCATTGTCTGACTCGAGCACCAGCTGCACAGGCTGCTGGTGCAGCAGCACACCAGCCTCCTCGCTGTCGGAATCTGCTACTAGCTGCACAGGCTGCTGACAGGTCACAACATTCCCTGAAAATAAAACCCAAGCAGAAAATAAGCCCTAGCATGATTTTTTTCAGGATATTGTAATATAAGCCCTACCCCAAAAATAAGCCCCAGTTAAAAATTGTCAGCCAGACAGATGCATTTAGTACTGTATTTCCCCGAAAATAATACCTAACCAAAAAATAAACCCTAATGCGTCTTTGGGAGCAAAAATTAATATAAGACCCGGTCTTTTATTTATTTATTTATTTATTTTATTTATTTATTTATTTAATCTTATACATCCAACAAACATTAAATCTATAGCAGTCTACATCACAACGCGAGAAGGAAATAAACTTGTCCCATTACATATATAGGGTAACCTATAAAAGTCTATTACATATACCAATTGACATGCTTATCCAATACCTCTATTTGTAGCTCGATTTGACATCCCATTATACCGTTGACTCCAAGATACATAGTAATCTGTGTCCCCCCCATCCTTTCAGTATCATAGTAAGCCGATCTGATTCCGGTCTTATTTTCAGGGAAACACAGTACTCCTTGGCTAATGACCGTAACGGAGCCTGCCCATCACAGCCATCAGTCACGACAGTCATAAAATGGGTCACTCATACAACCAACCCGATTGTACGATCTTTTTTGCCACAGTCACTAAGTGAACCAATACAGTTGTAAAGTGACTGTTGCGATCATTAAACAAACCAAGGCCTGACTGTGGACTGGTTTTGTTGAAAACCAGAAGTCTAAATGCCATTTTTTGGGGGTATCGTGACCGTGGGATGCTGCATGTATCACCAAGTATCCGACACGTGATCTCGTGACGGCAGGTGAAGGTGGCCATCGAAACTTCAGAACTGGCTCATAAGTACCACGAGGCAGGTCTTTCGTCTTTTGTGCTTTCAAATGGTCGCTAAGTGACTGGCCATAAGTCGAGGACTATCTGTATTGTGAATAAATAGCAATAGCCAACAGTATTTTAGACTTGTATCCTGCCCCATGGTGTTTCAGCATTCTCTGGGTGGTTTACAATGTGGAAGCATTATTTTACATATTGCCCTCAAGAATCTGGGTCCTCATTTTACCAAAGGATGGAAGGCTGAGTTAACCTAGAGCCAGTCAGGATCGAACTCCAGGCTGTGGGCAGAGTTAGCCTGCAATTCTGCATTCTAAAAGCCTCCTAAATGTTCCTTTCTTTTTTTTCCTTTCCTTAAAAAAAAAAGTGGGGTGTATTTGAACCCAGGGACAAAATGTTGTCCATTCCTGCAGTAGAGTACAGATAGTCCTCAACATATGGCCATAATTGAGCCCAAAATCTGTGTTGGTAAGTGAGAAATTGGTTAAGTGAGTTTTGCCCCATTTTACGACTTTTTTTGTTACTTTGTTAAGTGAATCACTGCAGTTGTTAAATTAGTAACACGATTCAGTGAATCTGGTTCCCCCATCGAATTTGCTTGCCGGAAGGAGATAATTAGAAAATTGCATGAGAATTAGAGTTGGAAGGGACCTTGGAGGTCTTCTAGTCCAACCCCCTGCTTAGGCAGGAAACCCTGCACCATTTCAGACAAATGGTTATCCAACATCTTCTTAAAAACTTCCAGTGTTGGAGCATTCACAACTTCTGCAGGCAAGTTGTTCCACTGATTACCGTATTTTCGGAGTATAAGACACCTTTCCCCCCCCTAAAAGGGGGTGAAAATTTAGGTGCGTCTTATACACCAAATGTAGCCCCGCCCACCCACTGGCCCCCACCCTTTGGCCTCTGCCTCGCAGCAATTACCTCCTTGCAAGCAAACAGCAAGAAAAACCAGCTCCTTTCAGCTTCAGCACAGGCTAATTAGCATAAATTGATTGTATCGGCCTCCCGATTCTCAGCTGATTTCCTCTCAGCTGTTTTGCGCAGGGCTCTGCTGCTTGCTGCAAAGAGGTAAATTGCTGGAGCAGATTTTTTTTCCTAATAGCTAATCAAGCTATGCTGAAAATGAAAATGAAAGTAAAGCAGGCTGTTTGCTGCAAGGAAGCAAAATTGCTCAGAGGGAGAGGGAGATTTCTTTTTCTTCTTTTCCTCACCAAAAAAGGTAGGTGCGTTTTATACTCCGGTGCATCTTATACTCCAAAAAATATGGTAATTGTTCTAACTGTCAGGAAATTTCTCCTTAGTTCTAGGTTGCTTCTCTCCTTGATTAGTTTCCACCCATTGCTTCTTGTCCTGCCCTCAGGTCCTTTGGAGAATAGCTTGACTCCCTCTTCTTTGTGGCAGCCCCTGAGATATTGGAAGACTGCTATCATGTCTCCCCTGGTCCTTCTTTTCATTAAACTAGACATAAGAGATAAACTAGACATAGCCATAAACTAGAATGAGGCATGCCATTCAGAATAATTGTGGCTGGCTGCTGGTTAACGCTGGCGTGTCACCCAAAATGTCGCGGTGTCTCCGCTTCGACAAGTGTGTCACAGGTTTGCCATCACTGCCTTAAAGGAGATCGTGTCAATCAATAAACAGACAGGCAATCGATTGCTGGGATACAAGAGCCGGCGAAGTTTCGCAGTGTTGGGACTTTGAATCGTATTGTGCCCTCTGCCCCCAACACACTTTTAATTTGCTGTTCCCTGGCTTCAGACTTGAGACGTGTCACAGCTGTGTGATCCCTCCTCCAGGGAGCAGGGGTGCCAAGGTTAATCCAAATTAAAGCGAAGAACAATCTGAATCGAAACACCTTCAGTTCCCAGGAGTTGCCACCTGCTTGCTTAGGGATTTCCGACATAGATTTTGGGCACGCAGGTCGAGAGCATCGACTAAAACAAGAGCTCTTCCAGTCTGAAGTTTGGGGGTGTTGGTTTTTTTTTTTTTTAAAACCCCTTCTTTAGGAAGCGGCTTGGTGCTTGCCTGCTCAGCGCTCCGACGGTGTGTCTGCCGTCTCTGTCAAACAGAGAAAGGGGGAAACGTCCCAGATGCCAACATCTGGCAGCTGAACGTGAAGCAGGCTTGACTTTGGGATGCCCTGCTATCTTTAAATACGGAGCTGTGGTGGCTTCCGTCATTTACCTGGATCTAGCAGCGGGTTGGTGACAGCTTAGCAGCTCCTCGTACATCACAGGTAGACAACTGCTCAGCAAAGAGGCAGCTGTACTTTTGATACTCCTGCTTCTCCCTCCCTCCCAGGGTGGATAAAAATCAATGATTTTTTTTAAAAAAAATCAAAAAAATCAGATTTTTTTTATTTAAATCGGATTTTTTTGATTTTTATCGAATTTATTTTAATAAAAAACTTTTGGGGTAAAAATCTATTGTAAAATCTATCGTTATTCAGCATGAAATGGAGCTTAGTTATGTAGCAGGAGGCTGTATATTCTGCAACACTGGGACTATCAGTGAGTCAACAGTGGGTCGAAGGAGTAGCAGAGATGACAGTCGCTCTTTAAAAATTATGATTTAAATCGAGTTGATTTAAATCAAGCCTTTTAACTAGTGATTTAAATCATGATTTAAATTGTGATTTAAATCAAATCCACCCTGCTCCCTCCCTCCCTCCCTCTCCCTCTTTCTTTCTCTCTCTCTCTTTCCTTCCTCTTCCCCAGATGGATTCTTGGAAGAGACAGTCAGTAAAAATTGCCTCTTTGTGTTGACTGTGTAATTGTGGAGATTGGGGACACCACACACGCACCCCTCTTTGATGGACAGCGGTGCAGTACCCACTTTTTTTCTCACCGGGTTAATTTTCTTCCACCACTTAGCAGGATTTGGCAGACAGATTGGAGCTCAAATCTTAGGTATTGATAAGGAGAAAAAGTGGGGGGGGGAGTGTTTCCTCTCTCCTCCCAATGAAACGGACTTCATGTAAACCGTTTATTTGCCAGAGGAGGAAAACAGAGTGGAGAAAGGCTTTGGGAAGCAAGAGAGAGGGGATGGGGCCCCTAGTTTAATCCTCCCACCCCCTAAGCACATACTGATTTGCAATTATTTATTTT